GGGGTGGAGCCTATTTACCTGGCCACGCCTCCCACCCCTATCGTGTGTCTGTCTGTCTGCCCCAGGGGGTGACGTACCCGGCCTGCCACGGGATCTGGAGCAAGTGGGCCCCACCTATGGAGCGCAGCCGCCTCGCCACCACGGCCTTCTGTGGTAAGGGACCCTGCCCTGGCTGAGCCGGATGCCTGGGTTCTCTCCCAGGCTCTGGGAGGAGAGTGGGGTTCAGTGGTTAGAGCAGGGGGGTTGGGAGCCAGGATACTCCGGTTCTCTCCCGGCATGGGGGGTGAAGCAGGCTCTAGTGGTTAGAGCAGGGGGGTTAGGAGCCAGACGCCTGGGTTCTCTCCGTGGCTCTAGCCCCGTGGGGCTAACATCTCCCGATCTCCCGCAGGCTCCTACGCTGGCGCCGTGGTGGCCATGCCGCTGGCTGGGGCCGTGGTGGCCATGCCGCTGGCTGGCGTCCTGGTCCAGTATTCGGGGTGGAGTTCTGTCTTCTATGTGTACGGTAAGGGTAGAGCTATGGGCCCATCTACCCCGACATCCAGCCTCCCCCTGTCAAAACCCTGGGCCCATCTACCCCAGCATCCGACCTCCCCACCGTCAGACCCCTGGGCCCATCTACCCTGGCATCCGACCTCCCCACTGTCAGACCCCTGGGTCACCACACAGAAGGTGGGGGAAGGCCTCGGAACACTGTCCCTCCCTGTAACCCCCGCCCCTCCCTTCGACAGGCAGCTTCGGGATCTTCTGGTATATGTTCTGGCTGATGGTTTCCTATGAGAGCCCGGCCAAGCACCCCACCATCACGGAGGAGGAGCGCCGGTACATCGAGGAGAGCATCGGCGAGAGCGCCAGCCTCATGAACCCCCTGATGGTGAGCCCCCGTGGCACGCAGGCTGGGACACTGCTGCAGAGAAACTCGCAGCACCAGGATGCCTTGGGCTGGGGGCACTGCCGTGGGGAAGCTTGCAGCGCTGGGGCGCCCTGAGCTGGGAAGACACAGCCGTGCCGCTGATACTCAACTGCTCAAGATAGTTGAGACCAAAGCAGACTGGGAAGGGCTTCAAAAAGATCTCAGCAAACCAAGTGATTGGGCAACAAAATGGCAAATGAAATTGAATGTTGATAAAGGCAAAATAACGCACATTGGAAAGAATAATCCCAAGAGCACATAGAATACGATGGGGGCTAATTTAGCTACAACTAGAGAAACTCGCAGCACCAGGATGCCTTGGGCTGGGGGCACTGCCGTGGGGAAGCTCGCAGCGCTGGGGCGCCCTGAGTTGGGAAGACACAGCCGTGCCGCTGATACTCAACTGCTCAAGATAGTTGAGACCAAAGCAGACTGGGAAGGGCTTCAAAAAGATCTCAGCAAACCAAGTGATTGGGCAACAAAATGGCAAATGAAATTGAATGTTGATAAAGGCAAAATAACGCACGTTGGAAAGAATAATCCCAAGAGCACATAGAATAGAAAAGAGAAGACTGGGGGTGGGGGGAGGATAGAGGTGTGTAAAATCATGACAGGTATGGAGAAAGCCCTGTCACAGTCAAACAAGCAAACCGAACGTTAGGAAGCATTAGAAAAGGATAGGGAATAAGACAGAGACTATCTGTATGAATCCATGGGACGCCCCCATCTTGAACACTGCGTCCAGACGCGGTCACCTCAGCTCGAAAAAGATCTCGGCATTGGAAAAGGTTCAGAAAAGGGCAACAAAAATGCTAAGGGGTTTGGAACAGGTCCCATCTGAAGAGAGATTAAAAAGACTTGGACTTTTCAGCTTAGGAAAGAGAAGACTGGGGGTGGGGGGAGGATAGAGGTGTGTAAAATCATGACAGGTATGGAGAAAGCGACTCAGGAAAAGTGATTGACAAGAACTAGGGGTCACCAGATGAAATGAATAGGCAGCAGGTTTCAAACAAACCAAAGGACGTTTTTCTTCACGCAGCGCAGAGTCAACCTGTGGAACTCCTCGCCAGAGGATGTTGGGAAGGCCACGACTTGAACAGGGTTCAAAAGAGAACTAGATCAATTCATGGAGGTTAGGTCCATCGATGGCTATTGGCCAGGATGGGTAGGACTGGGAATGGTGACGGAAGAGGGTTCATGTGAGGATTCCCTGTTCTGTTCTTTCCCCGTGGGGCACCTGGCCTTGGCTGCTGTCAGCCGACAGGACACCGGGCTAGATGGACATTTGGTCTGACCCAGTCTGGTCGGTTTTATGTTCTTATGTAATGTGTCCTGGGCTAGGGCACTGCTGTGGGGAAGCACGCAGCGTGGCCCTCTCACCCCTCCCCTCCCGGCAGAAATTCCGGGCCCCCTGGCGGAAGTTCTTCACCTCCATGCCTGTCTACGCCATCATCGTGGCCAACTTCTGCCGCAGCTGGACCTTCTACCTGCTGCTCATCAGCCAGCCGGCCTACTTCGAGGAGGTCTTCGGCTTCGAGATCAGCAAGGTACCAGCCCTCAGGCCGCCGGGTTCCCAGCCTCCCCCCGCTCTAACCACTAGCCCCAACTCCTGCCAGGCTACACCCTGCCTCCCTGCCCTGAGCAGGGAAACCTGGGGTGGAATCCTGCCTCCTCCATCAGTGCAAGGAGTTGGTTGGGACTCAGCCGGAGCTGGGTTGGCCCCAGGACAGCAGGGCTGGGGAGGGGCGGGGCCCTGCGAACCCACCGTCTGGGCTTGTCTCTCCGACCCCTACCTGGGGTCCTAGGGTTGACGTCCGGGTGAGGGGGCGATCACCCCTCTGCCCCTAATGGCTGAGGGGGGTCGGCGGCCCCTCCGTCGGACCCCTCCTCCTCCTCTGACTTGAGGAAGGGGGTCGCAGTGTCGTCGCGGGGCCTGACCTTGGACCAATGTCCTCCTGCGGTCTTGGCCATGTGGGTTTAAGGTTTCAGGGGAATTGCTTGTAGGTAGCGAGGAGGGGTAAGGGGAGTGGGGGACCCGGGCCCTCCCTCACCTCTGGGTCCCAGCCCGAGGCCCTAAGTGGAGTTTGGCGACCAGCTGTCGCCCTCCACGGCGGACGGGGCTGCTGCCCTCAACTCGTCCGCCCACGGGCGCCAAAAGGGCCCCGCCTCGGGCTCCTTCCACTCCCCGCTGACTTGCCCCGGTGGCGGAGCAAGGTTGGGGTCACTCACCACGCCGGAGTCGTCGGGCGCGTCCCAAGGCGAGCCGCCAGCTGCCGAGCCCGTCTCTCCTCGTCGCCCGGGGGGCTGGAGTTCTGGTGCTCCTGGACGCCAGGGCGCCCGCTGTTGCACTTCCCCCTCTCCTGGCGGGGCCCCCCC